GGGGGCCGGAGCGTACAACGGCCGAAGCGTTGTAATGAATATGGCGACAAAGATGAGGACAATAATCCGAATAATGTACATTGTTTCATTCCATTGAATCGAAGCCATCTCCGTAAATGCATAATTATGTTACCAACCTCAACAAGGAAATGTTCAGCCTACCATATTCTGCGCCTTGCCATTCTTCCTTTATGTATATAATATATATTATATTCTATATTTTCTTTATCTATAGTCGGTTTATTTTATTACTATAACTCTTTATCTTTTTCTTCATCAGTATAGTTTACTTTTATTTTAGCATCTTCCTATTTATAAATCTCATTGTAAGTTCACTGATATCTATTATATTTACAACTTTTTGATTATAATTTAATTAACTGATACATTTTATAAAGACGCAAATTAATCTCTGCATTTATAAGTAGCAAGGTGATCACGTTAACTATATTTTTTCTTAATTATTCAGTTGTTCTGATGATGTTATCTTTGAATTAATTTTTGGCAACAGAATAAACAGTTTAACGATGCAACTCGTTTTCAATTCCTGAGAATTCCTGGTTAGAAATAACTTCATAAAATCTGTTTTAAAGTCAAGTCAAAAGATACTGCAGTATGAACAGTATGTTTCTCTAGGCATCAATTTTCGAAAAGCCTGTGGTTAAAACTACCAACTAACAAGCTATATTTTGAATCGATTCGAAAATTACCCAATGGGATGGACTCTTGGTGGAATAAATTTCGACCGAAAAAATAATTTGTGTAAACAATTTATATATTTACTATGCTTATGTACGAAGGGGAAACAGTCAAAAATCTAAGGAGAATCGAAATCTGTTCACAAGTATATTTCTTGATTGACATTCTTGCTGGCAATCAGTTTATAAGTCAGACTCCTTTTTTTCAATCTGAATAACCTCTTACATATATGAGATTGTTCTGAAAATAACCTTTAGAACTTTAGAATAAACCTTTTAATTCTGTTATTTTTTTCAGTAATTTCCCCCGAAGCAAGACGTGAGTGCCACTAGTACGAGAGAAAGTGAGAGATAAGTTTGGATATATGGAGTATAGAGAAAAAGATGAAAGAGGGACAACATATGTTGGGGATTGACATTACATTTAATTCTATAAAGATTGTAGCTATCATGAAAAAAATAAGAGAAATGGAGTTCCAATTTTGAATACCAATCTAGTAGCACGCTTAAATTCATATATTCGGCGGAACCAGGAAAAAAAGCTCGTCAGAGTTGTTGCTATGAGAATATTTGTAGAAAAGACAGACGGCAGCCATACCCTGCCTGTGAGAAAGTGACTGAAGTCAAGATGCCAATTCAGGATCGATTACATTGCAGATCCTTCTTTGAATTTTGTTAAGAACCTCGACATGAATAACAGAGGCAACAGACCAGATATGGTAACAGTATTCAATGCGAGGTCGACTGGTAGATTTTTTTTTAAATATGTAAGATGGACTGTGACGAGAAAAAAACCTTCTCGCACGACACAATGAACTAAAATTCCTTGCAGTAGATGCAGCTATTGATTCAATGTAGTTCTTTCACTTCAAATCAGTTGAAAACGTGAGGCCAATAAGGCCCAGTGAGAAACTATCCAAGAGTTGAGCATCAGCCATGCTGATGGCGGGCAGGGAATTATTTTCCTATGGTGGTTAAATGAGAACAGTTTAGTTTTGGAGACATACAAATTAGCAAGGCATATCCTCCTCCATTTAACCACTGTTTGGAGGTTGTTTTCAATAAATATATTCATGGCATGGATTCTGACGAGCTTTTTTTTCCTAGTGCCCCCGAATATATGAATTTAAGCGTCGACTGTACGAGAAACCTGACTTAATAATTTCACTCATTTGGTAATTTTACAGGTTGACACACCCTTACGAGCGGTCCAGGCTACTGAGGGACGGATTTTCATATTGCGTATCTATTACTAGATATATTGCCATCCCAGGCTATCTGCGATGTTAGTACGTATTGAAAAAAACAACAAAAAAACCCCTCAGCTTTATCATCTATTTTGTAGCATCTGTGAGAGATAAGCAACTATGTTTCATATAAGCTAGTTCATCCTGAGGTCTTCAGCCTAGTAAGATCAGTACAAGGTTATATTCATTCAGACGGAAATTAACAGACGCAATACACATAATAATGTGTTATCTAGTACGATCGAATTAGGGTGCAAGACGAGTTACCCAAGCATTGCACACGCGGAGAGACAGTAGGAAGTATCTCCGCAAGCGTAAAAGTGTAGGCATCCGTATGTTTTAAACAACTTTCAGGAAAATTAATAAGTGGTGTTTAAGCAAGTGTAAAAGGTAAACAGATGAAAGTGTTAATAGTGAAGTGGAACAGGTGCACTTCTAATCAATCAAATATCTTAAGAGAAACATAGATTGTAACCCCCCTCCTTTACTGAATGTTTCTTTTTTTTTAATTTAAAATTATCTACGTTTCAGACAAAAAGATAACGAAGGAATTTCATGGGATGAGAAATTATTTGTAAAAGACAAGCTGAGAAGAAAAATCTCGAGGGAATAAATAAAGAAAAAGTTTGGATTTAAAAAAATACAATATACCTTCCTGACGTTGACGATTTGGCTTTCATCAGATTTCTTTTTACGTTATTGTCAGTGAATTGTTATAACAAATTGGGAAATATAGTGGGGTGCATAGAGACAGCAATGGCGCTTCTACGTGGTGTAAAGGTTAGTAAGCTTGTCTTGTTAGCTCATTAGCACGCGAACCGATTTTGAATTTTGAGTTGTTCACCTAGACTGGTTGCCAACCAAGGCTGAGAAACCCACCTTCCTTGATATTTTTCTCATAGTTGATAGGAGAAAAAAATTATTCATAATTATCTTAAGGGTATTTGTGCTAAAAAGAACGTAACGTACTCTGCTAACATTCGAAATCGGACCGCCAGTTTCTCTTTCTGAACTGTTAACCCACGTAAACTGTAAAGACCCACTTTCAAAATTAGTAAGTCTTTCCCATCGGTATATTTAGCGTACTGTTCCCAATGTCTTGCGTCTCTTCACGTATAGGTAAATATTAGCACATATATTTGTATTTGAGGATGTGTGCTTCACCTAATATTTGTCGGCGAAGAAATAAGTTTGGCATGCCGATATGAAATTCCAGCCGAGGCTTCTGTGTTCACTTAAAAAGTGATGAAGCCATATCGTCTTTCCCAAACTAGGATATAACAGATTTCCGTCTCGTGTGCTCTATAAGCCTAGATTGATCTCTTAACGTACTGCTCGGTCCTAACTCTGTCCTTTTCTATGTGTGGCACCATTTACGAGGCAGAAAAGGAAAAGAAAGAAAAGAAGGCAGAAAGAAAGGCGAGACGAATCGTGGGTGATCAGCAGAACACATACACGGCTAAGAGACAATGGATATATTGATAAGCAACAAATGGCGAAAGGGTGTCATTACAATGACAGGGAAATTCTGAGTAAAAAGAAAGGGAAAGAAAGAAAGAATCAGATATGTTTTGGCGTCGGCTGTGTTATCTAAGGGTACGTAAACAAACTGCTGGTCGACTGGCCAAAGAAAAATTCAAATGAAAATGTTATTTCGATAAGTGACGAAAAACAGGCAACTAAAAGGGACTTTGGACAGATATGAAAAATTAAAAGCCACACGAGCCGTGTCCGCTGACCGATTTTTTTTTTTTCGACGGAACATCCTTGGCCTGCGATAATAAAATTATGTTATCAGAAATATGTACCGAAAGGGAATGAATGGGAATTTAGAAATGTCTTTTCGGGGCGACGTTGGCCGTGTTAAGAAGAGCACCCATTCTGATAATTGGCGATAAAAATACCTGACGAAAACCACGTGTAGAACAAGAGTTATATTGTCCCGTTTGCGGCTAGGGAAATGATAACGGCGATTAAGAGGAAGAAAGGGAAAAGAAGGGATAATATTTTTTTAGTTAAACAAGATATGTTTTTCTTCCTGAAACAAAGCCGCGGATTCGTCCACGCCCGACTAAGACTTCATTGGTCGAGTGGTGATCACGTGACGCACGAAGGAGGCTATCGACGCCTCATCCAGAGTATAGGTATGAGAAGCTGTTACGAAGAAGTGGGGAGGGCAGTTCACGCCCTCTGAAGTATGGTGAGAAGGTGGGAGTGAGGAAAGGTTCCCAAAAATGGAAAAGAGTGGAAAATCCCTAACCAGAAATAAAAGAGGTGGATATGTATTTAGAATTATCGAGGAACCCCCGACGCCGACAGACCCACCCCGGTTTTGGTCGGCGTCCATAAAAGCGAAACCCCTACGAGCAGAAATCAGTTTTCCAGAGTTGAGTTCCAGAGGTTCCAGGAATTCAGTTCCCAGAGTCAGTCTCCAGTTGAAGCCGCCTCGCAGGTAGCTGACCAAGATTCACACAAATTCCGGACTCCTCTTCAACCCAAGAACAATTATTTTGAAGAGCGACTTAGATCCAGACCACCGAAATAAGTTTTTTTCGACTTTCGTCCAAAGACACACCGAAACACGAATTTCTTAGAGAGCAAACAACTTGAAGCGTTAAAACTTGCCTAACGGAAAACGACGTGTCACAATCCACAGAACGGGTCGGAAGATAAATGCAGTCCTATGTATCGAACAACTAGACATAAAGTTTGTTACCTTTTTACTTTGAACTTTTTGAGTTTTCATTTTATTTTCTTTTATGCATATTCGTGTGGTATCACCCCCGTTGAACTCAGTTTGCATTACGGCCCCAACCACTGTTTGATCTCGTCTGCCTAAGATCAATTCACAACGTGGGTAGGCAGACTGGGGATCAATGCAGTTACCTTGGTAACCAGGCGTTGGAAGCGAGTTGGAAACGACGAGGCTGATATCAAATCTAACCAGATTCCCACCCGAATCACCAAAAGGTTAGAACGTCACATCTCAAGGCGGGCGCGAAATGAGTCACACGCTTTGTCAACCATGTCCTTGTACATAGCTGCGAACGCCTACACGATGGCAGCCGTCAGAGAGTCGACAGTGTTGTCGGTGTGTTTGTTGGTCTTGGCCTCGATCACACCCAAGAAGAAATAGTCAAAGGGGTTTGCAGTCGGTCGAGGAAGGCGGCCACAAGTCCAGCGACCAGTGGTGAGGGATATTGTTGAGCAGCCTGCTGGAAGACGTAGGGGTGTCAGGCGGCGATATCGTCCATCCAGGTCTTCATCACGCTCCTCAGCAAGTCCTGGTGGATATCAGCGGTGACTCTCCGTACCTTTAGAAAGAGGAACGGAGGTATAATGTCTCACTAGCTGGAGATGAAGCCAAGGACCATGACGTAGGAGGGAAACTTCGTATGCTTCACGATTGGAACCTCCTCAGTGTCTTTGCAGATCTACTTGTCGTTCTGCCTGTTGCTCGTCTGATCCTGGATGAAATTCTTTTCATCAGAGAAGGACCTCAGTATCCCGGCGGACCCGTGCTTGAGCTCGTTCAGCAAAGTCGCCTCCTTGATCTTCCTTGATTCCTTGGAGGCAGATCGTCGACTTGTGACAGCCCATGTCAGCGGCGATCTTGGCGTAGCTCTGGCTTGCATCATTGTCGACTGTCTCCTTGACGCTAGCGACGAACTCGTCGGTCCTAACGGCCACAAGAGCGAACGTTGCGGGCAAACTCATCCGTGTTCTCACACGCCTACCACTTTCTACAAATGTGCATGTTATGTGCTATTGGTGATGCTTTATCGCATTTATTTTTAGATATATTATCAAACTGGTCGTTTATTGGCCAAATAGCACGTACAGCGGCGCGATTGTTAAATTATTGCGAAATCAATGTATGTCTTATATTGATTATTCTCTAAGCAGACAAGTGAATTCATTTGAATTTATTTACAATATTAGATTTTTAAAGTTTTGAATTTTTAGCTGTGTCATTAATGATGAACAACATGTTGAAATTTTTCATATTTTGCAATAAATAATGTATTTAATTAGCTTATATTTGTTTTACATATATTTATATAAATATATATACAAACACCTGTCTATATTTCTGAGATGAGGTACACTATTTACATTATTCGGACTATTGTCCTCATCTTTGTCGCCATATTTCGTTTCGGCCGTTGTAAGCTCCGGCCTTCTTCAGGTGGTTGTAATGTCGAACAGAACCCTTTATTTCGCCCACTGGGGTAGACTGTTCAAGTTCCACTGTGGATAAAGGCGATAGTTCCTGAAGAAGGCTGGAGCCGTTGCAATAAATATGGCGACAAAGATGAGGACGATAGTCCGAATAATGTAAATAGTGTATAGTATATATATATATATATATATATATATATATATATATGTGTGTGTGTGTGTGTGAGCATTACTGTAAATCAGTTGGCAAATATTTTCCGTGAACTGCAAAATCGTATTTCCCTTTGTATTGCTAATGATGGAGGACTTGTGAAAACTTAAATAAAATTTAAATAAAACCTTAAAAAATATAGATTGACTTCTTTCTAATCCGTTTTACATATTATTCCTATCGCAAATACAAATAAATTAAATTATGAATGTTTTAAAGTGCACACGAACTTTATGGACATCCTATATATATATATATATATATATATATATATATATATATATATATATATATATATATGTGTGTGTGTGTGTGTGTGTGTGTGTGTGTGTGTGTGTGTGTATATATATATATATATATATATATACACACACATATATATATATATATATACATATATAGGTATTTATATATAAACACTTCTTTCAGTTGTGACCTCGTTTCCATTAACTACCAAGCATGACGTCATCATGGTTCCTTTCAAAACTTAAGCTTTTCAAATAATACCAAGATGTAGACAGCGTAATTATCTTATTTTGCCTACCACACAGAGAACAGGTTTGGATCTTGAAAATCACTGAGACGGTCTACACTACTTGAACAAAACAAACTACACAACTTCTCATTCGAAAATTGTAAAAATACAATGGAAATTAAACAGACCTTGTCTGGTTTATTTAATGAAAGGCTTGATTCTTAGCTAAGCCGCAGTCAAGATATTTTGAAAATTTATGTGCTTCATGTTTCGAATAGTAAAGTAATGCCCGAATCGTTAATGCCCGAATCGTATCGCGATAACATTCATTACAGTACTAGGTGTTACCAAGCCGTCCACGCTCTGTGCTGCTTATTTCCGGTGATTGAACGGTAAATTATTCGTAATCACACACACACACACACACACACACACACACACACACACACATATATATATATACACATAATGTGTATATTTAGGCAGCAATTTTTCATTAATGCATGATTCATTAAATAATATAGACAAGTTTTGTCTATTTATTTTAAGTAAGTTCCTTCCATATTGTCTTATAAGCTTAATAACATTATCATTGAAAGAAGCTCGCTTTCATGACGCTTGACTCTACATTTGAATGATAACACTAACATTTTTAAGAATTTAAAACAAGATGCCTGGCCGCGTACACAATTCTGGAAATTCCTTGTTGACAAAACAGCTATACTTAAACACGAAAACAATAAACAAAAAATAAAAATTCTTGAAGCTATATACATGAAACAGTTGAAACAAAATAACCTACCAAATCTACACAAATGTACTCCAGTTGAACAAAATAACCTACCAAATCTACACAAATATTCTTAAATGCATATAATTGATAACAGAAGCCATTGATTTATACCAACGGCTTCCCATACTTAATACTTCTCGTTTTCACTCTCGCGATTTTTGCTTCCGCGTCTCGTATACACGAGTTAGTCTTTTGTTTTGAAATTTTCATGCAACAAAAAACAGACTATCATTATTGTTTCGTCCGTGTATTGGTTGATATATTGAAAAGTAATTGTCATCTTTGACAATGGCTTATGTCAGACGAAAGCTTAGATTGTATTTAAACATGTATTAATATGGTGTTTTCCTTTCGTCTTTCAATGATAATGTAATTAAGCTTATCAGGCAATATGAAAGAAACTTACTTAAGATAGATAGATAAAAACTTGTCTATACTATTTAATGAAACATGCATATATATATATATATATATATATATATATATATATATATATATATATATATATATATATATATGTCTGTGAGTGTGTGTGCTTGCGTATGCGTTTGTATGTCTGTGTGTGTGACATGACTAAATATAACAAAATATAAGATATTATAATATTGATTTCATGTGATATCAGAACCTCCAACTGAAAGAAAAAAAATCATGATTTGATTCAAGCAAACGGACGTTTTCGCCGGATGGGGAATTTCGCCTAAACGAACGCTGAACAAGTGGGAAATTCAGTGTCTCGACGACTAGAATGGATGACAGCACATATATAATTTGTAATCTCGGGTAATAACGTATGCATTCAAAGCAATTTCGCACTTACTCAAAAAAGACTCGGAAACTCGCATACACACAGAGGTATTATCCATAAATCACGATTTTCATATTTGACTGTATGATAGTTTGTACGAAAACGTCTGTGTACGTGTGTGTGTATGCGTGTGTCTGCGTGTGTGTGAAAGAGAGAGAGAGAAAGAGAAGAGAGAGAGAGACAGACAGACAGACAGACAAAGAGTATACGCATGCGCAAGTCTCCAAAGATGTTTCTTTGTAATATATCTTGCGTTGTATCTAGAGAATAAAGCAAAGCCAGATACGAAAACAAACTTATGCATGCATATATACAGATTATAACCATATCTATCTATCTATCTATCTATCTATCTATCTATCTATCTATATATATATATAAACCTAAAGAGCCAGGTAAACCTACCTACGTTTCACCTAAAGAGATCGTCAGAGGAAAACTGTTTTACCCTGACGATCCGTATAGGTGAAACCTAGGTAGGTTTACCTGACTATTTAGGTTTATATTAGGTTTGCTCTACTTCATGTATTGAGCACTTTACTTAGTTTCTTTTACTTGTTTTGGTGGTTCTTTTCTTTGGACTCTGAACTTGAACTCTGGACTATTGTTTTCGCCTCAAATTCATGTTCTTTCTTTTTTTTATTCCCCATTTTTCCTTGGGTACTGATTTGTTCAACTACAAGTCGAAATACCTAAGATTTTTCCAAGCGAGTACCACTATTGCGAGTACCACTATTTATATTTATATATATATATATATATATATATATAGATGTGTGTGTTTATGTGTGTGTGCACGCATGCGCGCACTATCTACTATCTTTTCATGGTTCGGTATTCTTTTCATTTCTCCATAACTCTCTCACAATCTACTTGCGGCGTCTTGTTATCAACTGAGGGAGACAAAGAGAGAATGATGTTTCAAGTTGGACATACAGTCAGAGTGACGTGACAATGTAGTTACCAGTTACCAATCGGTGCCAGGGTTTCTGCAGTGACCAAACTCTTTATCTCTACTTCCACGATAGGCGGTGAACAATCTTTCACTCTTCCGATTTCTCTAAATTGTGTCACATTAAAGTATAATTAATTTTAATATCTCCGGGTTTGCATGGCGTGTGAGATGGTGGCCTGCATCATATTGAAGCCACACGGATGTGTTCTAACCTCGATAAACGGCCACCATTTATATGAGCAAATTGGTAAAATTTTAAATGTCAGCGATACTTTAATTTTTGTTAAATATGTTTTTTTCTTACTTTTATTCACACGAAACCAGACCTTGGAACCCCTCAGAGAAGACAGTTAAGGTACATGAAAGAAGTGAAATTCTGAGGATATGCTGGATATATAACTTTCGAGAGTCTGCTCAACAGAACAACAGTTATTAGATAAAAGCTGCCTGAGTGCCAATGCTGTGTTATCAATAGAACACCGGCATACTTCGACTTCACACATTATGAAATGGACAAAGTCCGACAATTATTTTTTTCAAGACATTTTTATGTTTATACATTCTTATGACTTAAAAAAGTAATCGTCGGACTTTGTCCATTTCATAATATATGACGTTATTTGATTACATTTGGATATGACATGAGCAGATATGAATGTACGTGAGAGAATCATGGAAGATTGTAGTTTAAAGGCAATAAAATCGACCTTGCTAACCCAAACGCTCCTCTGTGAACCAAACGGTTAAGGCACGTCAGGCTATATGTCGGGTCCATATAAGCGACAGGTTCGATTCCTTTCGGAGGACTAATATTTTCTATGAAAAATTTCTCGGACATCCAGACCAGTAAATGTTGTTTAATACTGTTTATTATAAACAGATTATTTACTTAAATATTTGTATCTTTTAAAAGAACGTATAGACATAAAAAAATGTCTTAAAATAATTGTCGGACTTTGTCCATTTCATAATATATATATATATATATATATATATATATATATATATATATATATATATGTGTGTGTGTGTGTGTGTGTGTGTGTGTAAGAGAGAGAGAGAGATAAAAGAAAACTGCTTCATATTTGCTAAATATATAGTGGGTGATTGTTCCATATCGGGAGTAGCTGTCTTTTTTTACTTTATCGGAACGACCGATCCTATTATTACAACAGGAATTGCTAGTATAGCTTCTGAATTGAACCGTGTGACTTTCACTGCACACTCATACCACGAAAAGACAAAACCTCTTACGGCGTTCATATCAAAATTCATGTATCGCTTCCCAAATTA